ACATATAATTAAGGGGTCCCCGCTCCATCTCGCAATCAGTTGAAGACGTTGAAGACCCCCACACCGCTGAGACCCCACCATCGTTACCAGCTTAGCAGAGAAAAACTGCTCTCCACTTTCACCTGATGGGATGTTTTCTATCTCTCTCTGTAGAACCAGAGGATTCCAGCAGACATGATTTTCCTGAGGACGTCTGAGAAAACGGGTCAGTATCCAAACTATGTTTTCTGATGCAACGACCGGTGAAAGAAACGTCTGTGCAGGATGTAGCCGGGTCCCCTCTGAACCCAAAGCGTTCCTCTCACATTGTTCCACTGACTGATGATCCGGATTCCAATCAATCGATGAGTTCTGCCTTTTTTCCGGAGGAGATGTTGGAAGGACATCACGTCCATCAATCCAAACCTTGTCAATATTCCCCATAGTGAGGAGTGGACGTCTCCGTCCCCTTCAGCATCTCTCAAACTGCCCTCTTGTTTGGATGGCGTGGTGTTAATGTCCTCCATCACTCTGGGCGCCCCAGGGAGCGTTTACAGCTGCCCTTCTTGTCCCATAGAGGCTAACATCCATCAGCTGTTTCATCTGTAATATTACCTCGGATCGATGCGGCCACACGCCTCGTCCACGCCGCTGCCGCTGAAGCTTTCTGACCAGGCGTCCAGATTGAAGACGATTTTATGTCATGCCCTCATTTATCTGTTTATCTGCTTTAGGGTTTATTAATAGAAACATGGATGGAAAATACAATCAGCACGAACCAAGCACAACATTATAACAATTAGGGAACTACCAATTGAATAGATGAGGGAGGAAGTTTAATTGATTTATCTATATTAGCGGTTGGAAACCCAAACGGGTCAAAAAAACAAAAAACTAATCTTTCTGGAGCCGCATGAATGTAAAAGTCTTCTATAAGCCTCATATATCAGCTGTGCTGCTGCCATCAACACCTTTGTTTCTAGATGTTGGAGCTTGGCCTGTTTTCCAGTGTAGTCCTGTTTCTCTGACTNCTGTGCTGCTGCCATCAACACCTTTGTTTCTAGATGTTGGAGCTTGGCCTGTTTTCCAGTGTAGTCCTGTTTCTCTGACTGTGACTAACTGGGTGTGCTCTCTTCATCCTCTGACATGGGAGTGTTCATGGTTGTTTTTTGTTTCTTCCAGGGTCGTGCTTCATCAGGACGGATCAGCTGGACGGAGAGACGGACTGGAAGCTGAAAGTGGCGGTTTGCTGCACTCAGCGCCTCCCAGCTGTTGGGGTACGGAGGGCGGGGTCAACGTTAACCTGACAGCTGCTGCATGTAGATGAAGGCTTAGTGGAATTTGTTTTAAGCTGGAGACATCATTGAGTTTTTCAAGATGTAGCACATAGGAAAAAAAAAAAACCCCAGACAGAAATGAGATATTCCTGAGAGAAAGCTTCTGACCCATCCTGCCCTTAAAGTCCAATCAGCAACGTCTGCTGAGGAAGAGGAGGGTGCAGCTGCATCCTTACCTGTTTCCAGCAGTGAACGACGAAGACTCTAGAACATGGAGGTGTCCCTGTGCCGCCAGTAGAGATGGAAGGAGGACTGAAGGTTGGGATTTGATGATGACAATGAAGCTGAAGATGGGCTGAAACAATTAATCGGATTAGTCTCTTATTGAAATAATCGTCAACTAATGTATTAATCGATCTGTGTAACTTTTGGCCACTACGGGGCGCTAGACCTGTAACGTAAGCCAATTTTACAGTCGTGCGAGAATTTTCGGGCCGACTTCTTTCAGCCTGATGGTGCGTGGTGTCGTGAACAGGGGGTAACGAGGGGCGACCAGCCTCTAACGACCACCCCCCCATCAGGAATCGTAACGTCAGGAGGAAATCAAACATGTTTGAAATTTGGTCGGCCGTCATAAGGATTCTTTTTAGGGCTTTCAGCACAAAAT